TCTGGGTCAAAACGTCTTGCATGACCAGGACCCCGTGGCTTTGTATGGCTGCGTAAAGCACGCAGCGCAACCATGTGATCTACATGCATGCGTGGAGTAGCCACACGAGCCTGTGTACGCAGGCACAGCCCAGCCTTTATAAGCCAGTGCCATATTCCTAGCTTCTCTCCTTAAGCATGTGTCTTTTCTGCAGACCTGAGCACATCTGTCTCTCTCTCTTATCTTAATAAAACTCTTGTTAGCGGATTCTGACGTGTTTCGTGACATTTCCTCGCAGGGTAAGAGCACCGCCAAATGACTAACCCAGAGAGCTCAGGTGGGGTGGGGTTTTTATCATAGCAGAGATTGGGGTAAAGGGATTTCCAGGTTTCAGGACCGATTGGCTGACAATTTTCTAGGGGTATCTCGGTAAGAAGGGGAAATAGGTGTGTACTAGGCTCAAGGACATCTGACCACCTTATGTAGTGGGATGTTAGGTATTTCCCCATCCCTGCATGGATCCCTGGGTGGTGTGAGCTTTTCCGGGATCTGGGTGTTGCCTGCCAGTAAGCCTGTCACAGAAACTGTGTCTGGGCCCCTAAGCCTGTCATGGCAGCTGTGTGGTCAAGCTGTTTTGGGGCCCTCCACATGTGTGTGCATGTGCTTGGCTTTTGTGCACTGCTGGAGTGTAATTATGATGTCCACACTAACTCATCTTAATGGCAGCAGGCAGCAAAAGATGTTGGCTTTGCTTCTAGATGTTCTGTTATGCATGACTTAATGTCAGGGACAGATTCTGAGAAATGCAAGATGATTACACCATTGTGCAAACATCAGAGAGTGTGCAAGATTTCTACAATATCCCTAAGCAACAGAATCTTAACAGGACCACCAGTACAGGCCTAGTCACCTCCTGCTGCAATGCTGGATAGCTATATGGGTTAATTTCTGTCATCTTGAACACCAATGAGTCACTTGGGAAGAGGGAATCTCTGTTGAGGAACTGTCTCCATCACCCTGTGTTGCTGGCTCTGCAGCTGGGATCCCACTGTCTCTGACCCCGGGGGCAGGAGGTGAGCAAATGCAGAACCAACAGCACAGGCTCTGGGCGGTTGCAAGCAATCTCGTTTATTAAACAAAGGACTGAGGTATTTAAGTGTGTACTTTTTGGCAGGCTCTGCTTCCAGCTGCTGTGGTGTTTCCTGGTTGGCTCTGGGTCATATGTCAGCAGTGGTCATCTTGGGGGTCGGGTTTCAGCGTCCGCTGGGTCAGGATTCTACTATGCATGTCAGAGCTCTTTATTTGCTTAAGGCATGGCCAATGCTTTCCGCCTTACCTGCCTCAATCCTGGTCTGTGGATATGTCTAAGGGACATTTTCTTCACTGCTGATTGACATATGAAAGCCCAACCCACTGGGGACAGTGCCATCCCTCAGCAGGTCAACAAACAAGTAGCCAGTGTCTCGCCAAGGTCTTTGCTTCAGTTCCTACCTCTAGGTTCCTGCCTTAAGTTCCTGCATTGGTTTCCCTTGGTGATGGACTTGTAAGCCAAATAAACATATTCCTCTCCACATTTTATATGGTCAATGCCTTATCAAATTAATATAGCAGCACATGGTAGTACTTAGCATTAAGACCTAATGCAATAATAAGAGTCATTCCAGTGAGCTGATACCATTTTCTTCTCCTCAGTCTTTACACATCCTGCTACCCCAGCTCTTCCCTCCCAGAACCATCAGCAAGAAAGACCACAAAGAGATCACACTTAAATTTTTTAAAATGCTATAAGATAGCAGTCCTGTTGAATATAATCAAATATATTCAACCATAATTTTCTATCCAATTTTAAACATATTTTCTGTCGAAAACTGGGTCATCTACTTCATACCCATTCGGTGTGACATTTCAAAATGAATCTCCTCCTCTTTAACCGGTATAGCCTCTTTAGGCTGATGTGGTGGCTTGACCAGAATTGGCCCTCATAGTCTCATGGGTTTGAATGATTGGCCCCTAAGGAGTGGCACTATTAGGAGGTGTGGCCTTGTCGGAGGAAGTGTGTCACTGTGGGGGCAGGCTTTGAGGTCTCCTATGCTCAGCTATGCCCAGTATGGCACACAGTTTCCTGCTGCCTCTGGGTTAAGACACAGAACTCTCAGCTCCTTCTCCAGCACCGTGTCTGCCTGTGCACTGCCGTGTTTCCTGTCATGATGATGATGCACTGAACCTCTGAAACTGTAAGCCGGCCCCAGTCAAATGCTTCCCTTTATAGAGTTGCTATAGTCATGGTGTCTCTTCACAGCAATAAAACCCTAGCTAAGGGCTGGAGAGATGGCTCAGAGGTTAGGAGCACTGGCTGTTCTTCCAGAGGTTCTGAGTTCAATTCCCAGCAACTGCATGATGGTTCACAGCCATCTGTAATGAAATCTGGTGCTCTCTTCTGGCTTGCAAGGATGCAGGCAGAACACTGTGTGCATAATAAATAAATAAATGTTTTAAAAAAAAAACTAGCTAAAACAGCTGAATTAGTCAAACCCGAATAAAATCCTCCATGTGATAAAGATGCCCATTTACGGGTGAACGTGCCACAGACACTTATTCTCTGCACTCTGACTGATTACGTGTTTCTACATTTCCCACCACTCAGTACCCAAAGAGGCTTCTCTGATGGGGACTGAGAGCCGCACTAATCTTTGGTTCAGACCTCAGAGATGTGATTTAGAAGGTAGTTGGCTACTCTGTTCATTTAGCAAAATAACAGTGAGTGGTAGGTTCTCTCCGGAGGCCTGCAAGGCGCCCCAGCTGTGGGTCACATCTCTCTATCACCAGGCATGTGTTTCCTCCTGCGCATCAGACATTAGATCCAATCAGAAAACAGTTGGTTACCCCGGCACTATGGCACCCACGCGTGTCTTGCCAGAGTGGTCCTTCTTACGGAAGAGTGTGTAGGAAGACTGCAGGAGCCATGAGTTGGGGGGATTCTGAAGGTGACAGGACCAATGGACTCATAAAGTTGCAGCACTGGCAGTTGGCTACTCATGATCAAGCCAGCCAAGACTGCCTGGTGTATGTAAGAGAAGCACTACTTTACTTGTTTGCCTCAGGCTTGTGTCTCATGCTGGCTTTTCTCAAGAGCAAGCAAAGCATTTGTAACTTGCATCCATTTATTTATTTGCTCACCTCTCTTTTCAGCTTTGGAGGACTGCTGACAAGCAAAATGAGATTATGCACAAAGAGCGTTCAGCAGCATGCTTGGAAACTAGAGAGGATCCTGTAACTGGGGACAATCGTTGTGCTTGGTGCTTTGAACTGGGGTGTGTCTGGGTGTGCTCACTGTGCTGTGTATAATATACCGGGGCCTATGAACCAAGCTTTAGACTGTTCACAATAACATTGGAATGTGTGGTACTAATTTGGTTGGACCTCAGTTCTTACTTGGCATTCTGATGTCACTCCCTGGGCCACCTACTGGCCTTCTTCCAAATGGCAGTCTCCAACAGCTATCTACAAACACGGCTTAGAGACCCCTCAGTGAGGAACTCATAAGCAGGGCAATCCACTGTCACAACATGTGTTAAGGATGATGGTGGGAGATCCATGTCGACTTATAAATTGAGATGAGTTCAAGTATTTGTATTTCTGGTCAAGTTTTAAATATCAAACAAATTGAGGTATGATAATATTATCGCATGATACACTGAAAAGGTGGAAGTATGGTCCTAGGCTACTAAAAAGGGCATGACACATGTATATATTCATTGATGAAAGGCTGTAATTAAATATTCAATGCTCATCTAGTTTTACTGCGTGTAACGATTATAATAGCTTTTTTTTTAAAATCATAATTCTGGCCTCAAGTGATTAGAGTATACAGAACAATTAAGAAAGAAATATTTACTCTCGGGTATATTTACATGTCACTCTGGACACGGCTGCTCCAGCTTTCTCTCCAAACAGTTCTCTGAGGAGCTGTGAGGAGGCTCCCCTTCCTCTCATCAACCCCTCAAAGCATGAGGAGACAGTCACAGCCTCGGAGCGGACAGAAGGGCAGGACTGAGCACCCACTCTCAGGAATATTTAGTGATGGAGGAGTGCATCCCTCTGGAAGCATGCCTTTTGTAAAGTAAGGGCTTAGTCTCCGGTCCACCCTTTACCCTCCAGTCCTTAGTTACCAACGCTGTGGTACGGCTGGCTGTCCGGAGGGCTTCAGCAGGGCTTCCAGGACAACACCCCACTCCTAGGAAGTGACATCTCATAGTTTGATCTACGAGAGGACGCGGCACCTCAGGGAAAAACAAAGTTATCAGGCTGCAGTTTCAGACTTTGGTTTTTATGGGAAAATACATACGGAGAGACTAAGATTAGAAGTGGACAATGGTCTGACCATGTATAACATCAGAATTCTGAAGGGAATGTCCAGCCCAGTGGAGCTCAACTCTGAGTGACATGGGACCCACCTGGGAGGGAGGGTGTTTATTCCTCTTGTGCTGGGCTCCATTGAGCAGCCTGGTGTAGGGCATTTCGAACTAACTCCAGAGCGATGCTGACAGGCTGGGCTTCTGGTCCCCAGGACACACTTCCAGAAGCACGCGTGCTTAGTTAAAGCTACCACGCCGTTAGCATTAAGCAAGGGAACCTGCCTGGGCCACCACAGCGTCTGCTTTCTTGCATCTCCAGCAAAATCCTGATGAGAGCCACCTGGGTGAGCAATAGCGCAGCATTAAAATGTGGGGAGTCGAATGAGATTTGGGCAGGTCTTTCTCGACTCCAGGGCAGACCTGGCTTCTGTTCCCCAACAGGAGAGGACCCTGCTTTCTCCAGCCAGAGATCCCTGACGGCCGGCGGGACTCCGGGACTCCCACTCTGCTCAGTCCAGTGCCGCAGAGATGCCTCGTGGGGCCGGGCTCCGCGTTTGCGCACGCGCAGCAGCGCCTCCGACGACACCCGGAAGTGGCAAGTGGTTTGCGGCGTGCAGGTGGCCGCGGGTGGTCGAGAAAGCCGCACGTGTCCCTCCTCATCCCTACTCCTGCGCCTTTGAGACGAACTCGTGGAAAGCCCTCGGATGGGCGGATGTTAGGAAGCTGAATCTTGTCAGATTAAAATTAAAAGCTAGCTGCCGAAACCCGGGATCGAACCAGGGACCTTTAGATCTTCAGTCTAACGCTCTCCCAACTGAGCTATTTCGGCGGCGTGTCTGCTCTCCCTCGAGTATACTATCCCTGAGTACTTCATAGCCAGCTGTCCCGCCTGTGTTCCGTCAATAATTAACCTCAGTTCCGCGTTTTTCTTTGCTTTATTCAAGTAATGATTCTTCCGTCTCACTTTTCCCCACCAAGAAGAGAGGAAAAGCGCGGTCCTGGTCCCTTCCAGAGACCAGCTCGGCGCGCAGCCGAGCACAGGGACCAGCGGGGAAGCGGGTTCCCGTCATCCAGGATTGGGGGCCCCTAGGTAACCGCGTTGCACACTTGCCGAAATGTTTCCGATCTGGCTGGCTGTCAGTGTTTGGGTCCCTGGAGTCCTCTGTCCAGCCCCAGGTGCGGGGTTTGCGGAGTCCCTGCGACCCGCGTCCTGGAAAGGCCACACCTCGGTTACAAACTCTGCCTGGAACCTGTTTGGCAAACGCTTGGGCAGTTCAGGAAAGATGATTCGGGGTTCACGCAGGTTTCTGAAGCGCTCACTGCGTGCGTTCCGCAATGCCAGGCATCTTAGTGAAATTCTGTTTTCTTTTTCTCTCCAATTAAATAATACTAATCTCGAGGCAATTGACTTTCTCTTGCCACCCACTTACGAGACCTTTTCATTTACCTGGGAGCATCGCAATCAGTTTGGACTGATGAACGGATTAAAATGTGAAAGAAAAAAGAAAAATAAGGAGTGCTCGCCACCTTCATTGGGTCGCCGACGACTTCCTTCTTACAAACTAGTCTCTGAGCTCCCTAACTGTATAAACCAACGAATAGAGAGCAACCAAATCCAGGCAACTAAAGAGTTCGAGGATTAAGAGGTCGGTGGATAAGGAGAGAGAAAGGATCTGGAGATGAGACTGGAATGCTTAGAATGGAAGGGGGAGATAGGAAAAGACATTTCCTTTCACATTCTCCTCAAAGCCCTCCAGCAAAGACTTGACTATTTTCTGTGACTCTTTGGGCAGCCAGCCGCTGTTGTTTTCGGTGACCGCCCGCCTGCCAGGACTAAACAGTGCTGCTACTCGATCTCCGGCTCTCACCGTCTTTCCACGCCTTCTTCACGATGACTTGGAGGCGGGGGAGGTAGTAGTGGTTTGAATGAGCAATGTCCCCCATAGTCTGAGCATTAGACCCCAGTGGTGCCCTTGAGGGAGGTTTAGAAGGGGCAGCGTTCTTGGAGGCAGTATGTCACTCAGGATCCTTAGAGCGTCTCCCGGGCACTTGGGGTCGCCAGCCTCCCCTGCTAAATTCACATCCCAGATTCTGGGTTTTGTTTGACGGAGCTCTGCTGTCTTCAGCATACCAGGCCGGTACAGGGGCTGGGAACACAGGAAGTTGATCAAAGGGATACATTGTTGCTGAGTTTGAGAAAACACTTCGGTTCACTGGCAAGAGATGAACCATCATAGCAAACATGGAGGGTCAGGTGAAGGAGCTGAGATTCGAAGTAAGGATAAGGAAAAGAAACTTTCTGTAGCCTACACTCCCATCTTCCCAGTTAGCCCAAGGATTTTGACTAACTCCAATCTAATTGCTTATGATAACTATGAAAACTGAGAACTAGCCAGCAGATCTAAGAATACTACAACTAAAGAAAATGTGTTGTACCTAGGCCTGATAATCTTTCCAACTGCTGTCCGTTGATTAACTGTT